ATGAGAGTTTACCAATATGTATATGTTTGATCCTCACTGTGTATAAAACCAGGGCTTAAACTCCCACATCTCCAGCTATAGAAGATTTTCTTCAGGGTTAGCAAATTCTGTCCTTTTGTGATGTTAGGAAAACATCAGGCAAAAACATCTTGGAGTCCTCACAGTTAGAGTGTTTCTTTTAACTCATGGCTACAATTGGAAATCTATCCCTATCATTATGGTCAGATAACATGGCAGTTATGGTTTCCCTGCTCTTGTATTTGCAAGTGGGTTTTAAAGTGGCTCTCTGGAAAAGCATTCCACATAAATATAGTTATGATATCCAGAAGCAAGGGCTTAAATTGAAAAAAATCCACAAGATTGAAGCTTTTACCAAGATACCAAAAATAAAGATACTGTTCCATTTATTTGTTTAATAAACTGATTCTATCCATACCACAAAATACTTGCAATGTTTGTTTAGAAGTTGAACGATTTTATTTAAACTTTCTGAAAACTTCAAGTTTCTTTTCTTATCCCTTAACTATTACTGAAAAGCATATATACTCAATCGTAATTTGAAGAAAGTCAGTTTCTCTAAGTTGAGATTAAAATTTATACAAGTATTTTTTTATTTCTTTGTCAAAACATAAATTCTTACATTTAAGGAACAAAAATATTGGACTAGAACTAATATACTCATAGAATTTTTTATTTAACTGATTATTTTCTTTTGTGGCCTTTATTCTATTTTTCCATTCATTACTTCAGAATTTCTAAAGCAATAGTTTAATACTTCAGAGAAAAATAAAATGAAGTAAAATAAAAGAAGGAAACAAAAACATTGTTTCTCCAATTCATTCCATTCATCTACTTGAGGAACTGGTGTGGCATTAGTAGGCACACTTGGTGATCAAAATATATCTTTGCAAGACTGCAGTCCAAAAACTTACTTTGGAATTTTAATAGAAATATATTACCTTCCAAAAATACTCTGCAAAAGAAAAATTAGAATTCTGCAAGTAACAGAAAATTGGTTGAGAGGATGGCTGTTACCTCAATAGTCCTCATAAAATCTAATCCATCAGCTAACTGGTGGATAAAAATCTCTCAGAAAATATAATCCAAGAAGGCAAAAGATAAAAAGTAGAGGATTAACACTAAGAAATTACCATTGTTTTTTTTTAAATTTATTTATTTATTTTAATCAGAGGCTAGTTACTTTACAATATTGTAGTGGTTTTCGCCATACATTCACATGAAATCAGCCATGGGTGTACATGTGTTCCCATCCTGAACCCCCGCCTCCCACCTCACTCCCCATCCTATCCCTCGGGTCATCCCAGTGCACCGGCCCTGAGTGCCCTGTCTCATGCATCTAACCTGGACTGGCGATCTATTTCACATATGGTAATATACATGTTTCAATGCTATTGTCTCAAATCATCCCACCTTCGCCTTCTCCCACAGAGCCCAAAAGTCTGTTGTTTACATATGTCTCTTTTGCTGTCTCGCATATAGGGTCATCGTTACCATCTTTCTAAATTCCGTATGTATGTGTTAATATGCTCTATTGGTGTTTTTCTTTCTAACTTACTTCACTCTGTATAATAGGCTCCAGTTTTACCCACCTCATTAGAACTGATTCAAATGTATTCTTTTTAATAGTTGAGTAATATTCCATTGTGTATATGTACCACGGCTTTCTTATCCATTCATCTGCCGATGGACATTCAGGTTGCTTCCATGTCCTAGCTATTGTTAACAGTGCTGCGATGAACACTGGGGTACATGTGTCTCTTTCAATTCTGGTTCCCTCGGTGTGTATGCCCAGCATTGGGATTGCTGGGTCGTATGGCAGTTCTATTTCCAGTTTTTAAAGAAATCTCCACACTGTTCTCCACAGTGGCTGTACTAGTTTGCATTCCCACCAACAGTGTAAGAGGGTTCCCTTTTTTTAAAACAAAAAACTAAAGACTTACAATGAAGGCCTTCAGTTTCTATGTACCAAGTACATAAAAAGTTCGTTCCAGTTTTCATGTAGGCTGTTAATAAAATCCTTTTTCATGGTTATCCCTTTAAGATAATTTTTTATTGTAAAATAAGTCTAGTGATGATAACTTTATATAATTCACTCCCAGTATTTGATGCTACAAATATCAGGGTCTTTGAGTTATGCTGGATCCTTATATGCAACTGGCATAAACCCCATTATTTGGGCTCTCTTAATCACTTTTATAATTTCTTTCTGTTACTTCTAACAAAGACCTATTATATCCCTTCCATAAATTCATCTAGTAAATAGGGAAAAACTGGGATAAAAGCTGTACAATCTACCCATTTTCCACATAAGACACAATTTTTTAAGAGGCTCCTTATAAGGATTTTCCATTGGAACAGGCAGGACCTCATTGCTGGTCATTTAGGTCATTTTACATGTATAAATTAGTTCATTCTTCTTAAATAAAAGGCACAATAACAATTATTGCTTCCTCCCTGTAGCCTTTGAGATATATCAAAAAGATCTATAAGTGATCTACTGTCTTGAGGTATGAAAGTACTCCTTAAGTATCATAAGAAAAGATGAGGCAATTTGGTATGCATCTTGTCAAGGTAGGAGGAAAAAACAAGCAAGCAAGAGAACAGTTACAATCACTAAAAGAAACTATTCCTAAGCAGGACACAATCAAAGGTGGGCTCAGATATTTTCTTGTACCAGAAAAGAAGGAAGTGCTTAAAAGTCTAAGACAACCCAAATTGAAGTGGACCCCTACATTTTAGCACCAAAGATTACTAATTGATTTTAAAATTCTGAATAAATAAAAATTTGTTAAGTACACAATAATATAAACACACATAAAAAGAGAAAGAAAATAGAAAAGTATCTAATTTGCTTCCTATAAGTAACTAATACACTAACTACTAAACTGGTAATTAAAGGGAAAGAATTAAATAGTGATCCTGCCATTTTTAGGGAACTGTACTTCATCCCAGTTAATGAGATAAAGCTCTTCTTCACTGAGAAATGACAGCAAATTAGTGCAAAGACATGACAGACTTGGAAACTAACCATTCTGCAAATTCTAAAGAAATAACTGAGTCAGACCAGGATTATCAGTGTATGTTCAAAACCATTTGGTGAAAGGTTATAGGGAGACAGTATATTTACAGTGTCAGACTATCACTAGATCTTTTTTGACAGAAAAGAAAAACTACATCTTTATATTGGAAAGACCTCACAAACTCAGGACAACTTGAGTTTGTGTCTCTTGTGTATCTGTCGCTTAGTTGTGTCAGACTCTGAGACCCCGTGGACTGGAGTCCACCAGGCTCCTCTGTCCATGGGATTCTCCAGGCAAGAATACTGGAGTGGGTTGCCATGCCCTTCTCCAGGGGATCATCCCAAACCAGGGATCAAACCCGGGTCTCCTGCATTGGCAGGTGAATTATTTACCTTTTGAACAATCAGGCAAATCTTCTGGTATGATACAAATTGAAATACTCAGCATATGGTTATTAGGAAATGTTAAACCTCAATCTAAGCAAGCAATTAGGTGTTTCCAGCTTATTGGACAGAGAGGAAGAAGTTAAATAATATCAGTAGGAACTCAACAGAAAAAAAAAAAAAAAAAAAAAAAAAGAAGGGAATGCCAAGAATCTAGAGACATCAAACTCATTAAGGCGACAAGTGGAGAAATTTGAATTGGAAGTTTAGTAAATAGATGATATTAAGGACTATTTCAGTTTTCTTGTACATGATAATGGTATTGTAGTTCTGCCCTCATTTTCAGGAAATAATATGCTGAAATATTTTAGGGCTTAAGTGTCATGATATCAGCAATTTAACTTTCATATGGGACAGAAAAAATATTAGATGCAGATATACACCACACTGTTGCTACTGTTTAGTCACCAGGTTGTGTTCAACTCTTTTGCAACCACATGAACTGTAGACTACCAGGCTCCTCTATCCACGGGATTTCTCAGGCAAGAATACTGGAGTGGGTTGCCATTTCCTCCTCCAGGGGATATTCCCCACCCAGGGATCAAACTCACATCTCCTGCTTGGCAGGCGGATTTGCTGTCACTGAGGCACCTGGGAAGACCATAAAGTACATTATTCAGTTTAAAAAGCAGTCATACAGGTATTTGCCTGAGGGTTAGTCACTCAGTCATGTCTGACTCTTAGCGACCACATGGACTGTCCATGGTATTCTCCAGGCAAGAATACTGGAGTGGGTTGCTATTCCCTTCTTCAGAGTAAGTTCCCAAACCAGGGATCAAACCCAAGTCTCCCACATTACAGTAAAATTCTTTACTATCTGAGCTACCAGGGAATCCCATAGTGATAAAATATATTTTTAAAACTGCAATCTGGAAAATATCCCGGTAGTCCAGTGTTTAAGACTCTGTACTTTCACTGCCGAGGGCCAGGATTCAATCCCTGGTCTGAGAACTAAGATTCCACACGCTTCGAGGAGCAGTTTTAAAAAAAAATAGGTGAGGGATTACTACTGCAATTAGGAATCTAGCATACTTTTCAACTGAAGGCAAATTACATTAGACCAAGCCTGTATTACTTTTCTATGGTTTGTTTGCACAACAAACCCTGTTATCAGAACTCATGATACATCAGTTATTCTGCTGCAAAGAGTAGAGAACACATTTTTCAATTGTACATATCCTCCTAAGAATCAACCATTTAAAATGCTAACTGGGAGGTATACCAAATACAAAAATTCAAAGAACTCTGGCAACCTGCATCTTTAACTACTTTTCTGATACTTAGATACCTATTTTGCGCAGTGCCTGTTACCATAGTATAAAACAGTAAACTGATTATTATTAATATCATGCTCTTGCCAGTCTCTAATGTACTACTCTTTGCAAATATGTATTTTTACGCAATAAATTAAAAACTTGTAAAAAGTAACAAAAAGAAATAACTGTAATATACAATCAAATTCATAGTGATTTGAAGAGGATCACATCCAGCTTTAATTTACTCAGTTTATCCATACCTTTTCATTTTCCTGGTTGTGTTTACTCATTGGTGATGCTGGTTTAGAAAAATCAGTCTCATCATCTACTGCATACTCTCTGCCAGACAGAAAATCCAATAGGCAACTCTGTAAGAATTACACAATATTACTACAATCAGCCGAGAACCCCACTGCTGCTCCATCAAGAGTAGTACATGTGTGCTAAGTCGCTTCAGTCCTGTCTGACTCTGTGACCCCATGGACTGCAGCCCGCCAGGCTCCTCTGTCCACGGGATTCTCCTGGCAAAAATACTGGAGTGGGTTGCCATGCCCTCCTCCAGGGATCTTCCTGACCCAGGGATCAAATCTGCATCTCCTGCATTGGCGGGCAGGTTCTTTATCACTAGCATCACCTGGGAAGCCCCCATAAGCAGGAGAGATCATTTCAACCTCCATTATTCATAGAACTGTCAGCATTTAATATACCTAAATAGTCAGCTGAGTCCCAAAGAGCTTTTTTTCACTAGTTCTTTGAGGCTCAGCTGACTGTAGAGAAATAAACACGCTGCCAATCACCTGCTTAGGCTGAGAAAGTCTTTTCGTGGTCCCTCAAGCCTCACCAACAGTAAGACCATCTGTTGGGCTACTTAATGGCTTCCTGAGAGTCAGAAAACCCCGGCACACTCATAGAAGGCATTTATTGACCTTCCCGAGATCTCTAAGGCCTGCTAAACTCTTCTCAGGACTTTCCTCATAGCTCAGTTGGTGAAGAATCTGCCTGCAGTGAAGGAGTATGTCTGCAATGCAAGAGAAGGGGATTCAGTTCCTGGGTCAGGAAGATCCCCTGGAGAAGGAAATGGCAACCCACTCCAGCATTCTTACCTGGGAAATCCCATGGACGGAGAAGCCTGGTAGGCTACAGTCCATGGGGTCGCAAAGAGTTGGACACAACTGAGCAACTTCACTTTATGCTTCTAGATGCCCATGGGGCCCTGCATCCATATCCCTCAGGGGAGGAATTATAAAAGTAGGAAATAAAAGGGAGAGGGGCATCATTCAAATTATGTTCCCAGAACTTCCCTGCATTATCTTTATCTTAACTCCTTATAATTCTTCCTTATTTAGACTACAATAAATCAATAACAAAGAATGCTTATCAGGATCATGAAATTTCAGGATCTTTAAATTCAGAAATCTTTAGAACTTTCTGAATATGTATCTTTAAAGATACTTTAAATTAAGATATTCAGCATATTTTTTAAAAATCAATCTAAGGGTATTTTCCTGCTCACTTTTTCCTCATTGCAAGTTTCCTTTGAGTAACGTTAAGTATGAATCAAGTTGTTGGTCTTCTAAGATTTAAATGCAGAAAATTTTCTACTTCATATATTACTTCATATATTACTATCTCAGCAGCTCCCACTTCTTTCCTAATGTTCTGCAGAGGAGACATACTGATATTTGGAGGCAGAACATCTTCAAATATAGAACCTTATATATCTCACTCTGTTAGTTAATTCACTTAAATGAAGGAACTTGTTAGAGAACTTAAAGGCAAAGGATAAAATGAAAACAAAGACTTCAGGCAGATAATACTCTCACTGGCTTTTCAGAAATTCTTGTTTGTTATTCCTACAATCTAAAACTTGTGTTTCATTAGTCTAAGTGAACTTTGTGAAAAGTAGTTAAAAATCATCTCTAAAAGCAAGCAAATAAAATATAACTAGAGGGGAATTTAAAAAAAAAAAGTCTTCACTCACAAGTATCCTTATTATGGTAGGGGTGTGTATGCCAGGGTATGCATATACATGCATGTATTTTGAGAAAGTTACAAAAGGGCGAGGATTTTCATGATGGCCCAATGAGGCAAAGGACAACAAACCACCTGCCAGTACCCATTGCCCCCTTCTTCCTTAGTATCTGAGCTTTCTTTTTGTTTCTGGCATGTTACTACACCAAATAAAAACTATATTCTCCATCCTGGCTAGCATCTTGGTGTGGCCATGTGACTAAGCTTTGGCTAGTGAGATGGAATCCAAAGAGCTACACCACTTAAAAGGAAAAGAGACTGTCCTCCCTTACTACTTCCTGCTGCAAGAAATGCTGATACAACATCTGGAGCTCCAACAACTACCTTGAACCACAAATGATCTTAAGGGTAGAAGTGAAGAACTAAGATGGGAGAGAGAGCAGAATGACAGAAAACACCTAGGTATCTGATAACCATGAACCAATCATACAAGTCCTAGATGCTTACTTACCTTTAGACATTTTTTACAAAAGAATAAAACAAACTTCCATTATCTTAAACAACTGTCATTGTTGAGGTTTCTATTCTAAGAAGCCAAGACACTACTGCCAAGTTATTGAAAAGAAAAATTTGTAAAATAGTTTTTTTTAATTTATTTTTTTCCATTTATTTTTATTAGTTGGAGGCTAATTACTTTACAATATTGTAGTGGTTTTTCCCATACGTAAAATAGTTTATAATCTTAGAAATTCCAGTAAACATTTCCTTCTAATTATGGCTACAATTATTTTCTTTTATTACCACTATTTAATTACTTCTTTAGTGGCACTTGGTAAATGTTAAGATAAAGAAATATATTTTCAATATGTTAAAACATACTGATATATTCAAATATATTCTAGAATAGTTTATCAACCAAGCTATGAAGGATGATACTCCATTAACTTTAAAATTCATACTCTATTAAAAAATGAGGCAATGAATATGTCTGCAAAAAAGGAATAGAATATTACCTCATGCAGAGTGTATCATACTTAACATTCTCATTAAATCATACTCCACCTTAGTAAAAAAATATTAATCCATAGTCATAGCAATTATTTATACTATATATGCCAAATGAACAGATGCACCCTAAACCAAGAAAGTAAAATACAATAGCAATCCTTGACATAATTCAAAAAGAAATCACACATTTGGTATTGATTTATTAACAATTTTTTGATCTAATAAGTAGCTGTTCTTATAATTTAACAAAATATTAATAACACGAGTTCAACAAAATTTACCACCAAAATATTTCCCTCAAGTAATGACTAGCTTTCAGGTAGCTAAATTTTCTGCTCTTAATATGATCCAAAAAGCAAAAGCATTATCAAGTTACTGTAAATGCTAATACCATCACTTAAAATAAAAATAAATCTAGCCAAATTTTAATTTGATTGAGACAGAATTATTTAAAAAATACTTACAGGAGATATATTTGCATAATTTTCACAATTAGAAGTCAAATCACCACATTTTTTATAAACATCAATCAGATCTAACATGTTACTATTCTTTAAGAAATCATCATACATCTTCCTGATGTCATCATAATGGTCAATCACTTTTATATTTTCAACTGATAAGTTTAATTTCTCATGTAGGAAGTATTTCCAGGTCAATATGATATCACTGAGAGAGACTGTAAATTCTCCACTATGCTGAAAGAGAATAAAAGTAAAAAATTACCAAAAATAAAATGATTAAGTTGGATGCTAGTTACTCATTAACTTACAATTAAGATCAGTTCAGTTCAGTTCAGTTGNCCTGATATAAAAGAAAAAGATTTTGATGATTTTTAAAAATACTATCAACTATAAAAAGTTTGTACATGACAAAGTTAACAAATAGGAAAGAATGTGAAAGTGTTAGTCGCTTAATTGTGTCCAGTCCTTTGAACCTCCACGGTCTGTAGACTGTCAGGTTCCTCCGTTCATGGGATTTCCCAGGCGGGAACACTGGAGTGGGTTGCCATTCCCTTCTCCAGGTGATCTTCCCCACCCAGGGATCGAACCCAGGTCTCCTGCACTACAGGAAGATTCTTTAACATCAAAGCCACAAAGGAAACCCTGAACAAATATAATCATCTTATTTCCTGAACCTTACTAAATTTCTTCTACCAAATGTGGGGGAGGATGGGTGAGTAGTGAGCTGTTCTTAAGTGCTATTAATTGAGGAAATAGATTCCTTTTAGTTTTTTGCTAAGGTATTTTTAGTCTCTTATTTAAAACTTTAATGCCATACTGTATTCGTACATACTACATTATCCCAAATGTTAGTCTTAAAGCATGATCATAAAACTTCAATTTTTAAAAATTATGTTTTATTACTATTTCCAGGGAAGCTAAAATATCTGCTAAAATTTAGGGTCAGTGAAGAATTTTGAACCTTTCCTGCTTATCATCACACTTAACTATCACAAACAAATGCTAAAAAGCAACAGTTCAGGTTTCTTTCTATAAGTTGTCAGATGTTACTAAATAGGCAAAATTGTTCTTTTTTTCCTCTTCTTCAGTATCTTCATAATAACTTATCTCAGTGGACATGTTGAAGGTTTTTTTTTAACTGACTGCATTCTGTTCCACTTAAGTATCCCAGATATTAACAATGATGCCCTCCAAAACATGCTAGACCTAATACAGTTAAAAAAAAAAAAATCTAACTACTGCTTTCCAATGCAGGATGAGTAACAAATATTTTTAAGTATCTGTACATGGTTTCGAGAAATACATTTTGCTGCCCTCTTCCACAGTTAAATTTAATATGTACATTAGTATTTTTTGCTAACACCAATATCTTTCCATTAATAGCATTTAAAAATGGGTGGGTATTTAAATAGCACTATTCATTGGAACTAAACTGTAACATCATCTTTAGCCAATGAAGATTAATAGAAAGAAATAAAAGGAAGCCAAATAATATGTTACTCTCTACATATCTGATTCTTTCAAATCTCTGTATCTTTTGTAAAAATTAGCCATATTTTCTAACTAATATCCAAATTTAAGACAAGGTGCCCAAACTGCCTTAAAACAATTAACTCTTTATTTATCCATATGGGAGCAACTAAGAAAATTATCTTTATTGTCTTTAAAGTAAGGATCTGTTATATAAAAATTACTAAAATTAATTATATTTCATGAAATTAGTTCAATGCACAATCAAAAAAAATATCAGTAACTCTCAAACACTGGACCCACAACCCAGATATAAGACAGATTTGTAATTTCTCAGCATTGCATCAAAATTGTATACTTTACTTACCAATCCCACAAATGTTACTTACACACCATAAAACTTCCAAATGGTATTTAGTTAAACTAATTAAGTTAATTAATTAATTAGCTAAATTAATCCAATTATTTAGAGTTTCAAAACTAAACTGTTATATCTCAAAAATTCCTAAAAACTATTTTGGAATAACAACCTTCATGTTAAAAATAAAGATTTTGCCTAACATAAATGTACAGATTTCATCCTAATGACTCTGTGCAGTCCTCAGTTGTGTCTGACTCTTTGCAACTCCATGGACTGTAGCCCACCAGGCTCCTCTGTTCATGGAATTTCCAGGCAAGAATGCTGGAGAGGGTTGCCATTTCCTTCTCCAGGGGATCTTCCCAACCCAGGGACTGAACCCACGTCTCTTGTGTCTCCTGCATTGGCAGGCGGATTCTCTACCACTGTGCCACCTGGGAAGTCCTATCCTAATGATTATAACAAAAGTAAAACTATACGAGTTCTTGATCTTGTGAGAAAAGGTTTTGACTATATTAACAGTGTTTATACTGGGATTGTAAAAACATTTCAAATCCAAATAAAAATGCACTCCAAATATCAATTTTCACGATCAGGTGCCCATCATGACAGCATATTCTATTATTCAAACCAGTAACAACTAATTGAGAAAGTTTGCGGTCAAATCAGAAAATGTTTTGCTAAGAAAACATGCCAGCTGGCGAATATCTGAAGGAAGTTCAAAACGTTCAATGCTTTAGTTCTCTGATGGACATGAGAAGGACTGTATTTCACAAGAATAAAACGAGAAAAAGCGAGTTACACTTATCAGAGTTACTTGTATGATTATTCAAAATTTTAAATAAACTTTACATTTTTAACTAACTGGAATTCTTGTTATTGAAAGAGAAAAGATAGAAAGTTTACCTAAGAGCATTAATTGGATGTACAACCTTGAGTAAGATACTGAAATCCCTGAGTCAGCTTCCGTGGTTATAAAGTAAGATTGTACAGATTAAATAACACCTGATAAACTGCAACCAATCAAAACTGTCAGTTTCCTTTCTCTTTTCTTATTCAATGTAAAATAACAGTTTATTGCCAAACGGGTGGTAGATAAATATAATACAATTTTTAGAACTGTTTCTTCTTATTTGTTATGTCACTATTGGATCATTTTCAAATCTGACAGTCAACCACAGGTGCTATGACAGCTTTCCACAAAGTTATAAAATTAGTATCTTTGTTTCATTCAAAGGAATGTTCGTACGGTTCTTAAGGCTAGTTAAGTTGAAAAATAGCCTTAATAGGGCAATGGCCAGACAAATTTAAACTATAGAACCAATCCCAAAGAAAGGAAAGGCTAAAATTTTATTTGCAATGTAGTAATGAAGTTATGGAGAAGGAAAGGCAATCCACTCCAGTATCTTGTCTGGAGAATCCCATGGACAGAGAAGCCTGGCAGGCTACCGCCCATGGGGTCGCAAAGAGTTGGACACGACTGAGCGACTAAACAGCAACAGTGAAGTTATACATATCTGCCATATAATGAAGTCAAAAATCCTCAATGAATCTATTATAGGTTAAATCTTTAGTGGTATAAAACTGATAGAGATGTGTCACATTATTTAAGCTAAAATATCTCCCCTGCTCAGAAAATATGCCAAAACCCTGAAACCCAAAGGTTATTTTCTTTCTCCCCACCAAAGCAGTTAAGAACACAAACACACCAATAAACAGACTAACAACCAGGTATTCAAAGGTTTTACCATAGTCAAATTCAGTTGTAAAGACTATACTTTAGGGACTTCTATTCTTAAACTTCAGAGAATTAAAAACCTAAAGCTCAAAGCACAGGATGGAAAATATAGATGAAGGATATGTGCAACCAAGTCCACCTTACTATCTGCTACATGCGAACACACCTGCAGGCAGGTGGATGCTGCATATTGCCAAGTGACAAAGTCTAAGCACAGATGGAATGCTTGAGCTGACTCTGCACACGAAGAGGTAAGGCAAAACTGACTCACAATCCACCATCTCCATGCAAACATGCATATATACACACGGATTGCAAAAAGTTCAGTTGCATTTCATCTTTCCTCTTCTTTCCCATCCAGAGCCTGAATTTTCAGTAAATTAAGAGAATTAACAAGTAGAAAATTAACAAAGAGAAAGAGATCTTGAGTGAACTCTACACAGGCAAATCCCAAAGAAAAAATGACTTGGATTGAATATTTTAATATGTCAAAATTTTTACAATGAGAACTAAATTTTCTTCAGGGTATATTTCACTTAGCTTGAGGATATATTTTTAATTACTCATAAACCAACAAAAGAGGTAATCTGAATACAATGTTTGATTCCAGAACACCCCTCCTCAATCACTATACAATAATGATTCTTAATAATTTCATTTTCTCTCTCTTGTTTTCGAGTGCATGGTCACCAAGGTTTAACCTTCAGCTAGCCCATTCCATTACAATATTACAATATCCTTGTAATCTATTATTTACCTTAGCACCATTTCTCCAGATCACTAAAGAAGGACATATTCTTTTTTAAATACTCATGCAGTAAATTTCGCAAGATTTGGAAATGAATTGCCAAGGGGAACAAAGGAAAGAAGCCCTGTAATGTTCCTTGGGTGTCCAGTTTCAGTGACTGAGAAACAACGGAAGGTTAGGTTGGTAACTTCAAGGAGCAAACAACGTAATCTACCTTTAAAAACTGATGTGGACAGTAATGGAAAAGCAAGATAAAATGCTCAGCAAGTACTTGACCATACCAGAGTAAGACTCAGTAGAGAGGCTGACAAGAGTACATCATGAGAAATACTGGGCTGGATGAAGCACAAGCTGGAATCAAGATTGCTGGGAGAAATATCAATAACCTTAGACATACAGAGAGATGGCACCACCCTTATGGCAGAAAGTGAAGAACTAAAGAGGCTCCTGATCAAAGTGAAAGAGGAAAGTGAAAAAATTGGCTTAAAGCCCAACAGTCAGAAAACTAAGATCATGGCATCCGGTCCCATCACTTCATGGCAAATAGAAGGGGAAACAGTGGAAACAGTGGCTGACTTTATATTTTTGGACTCCAAAATCACTGCAGATGGTGACTGCAGGCATGAAATTCAAAGACACTTGCTCCTTGGAAGAAAAGCTATGACCAACCTAGATAACATTAAAAAGCAGACATTACTTTGCCAACAAAAGTCCATCTAGTCAAGGCTATGGTTTTTCCAGTAGTCGTGTACGGATGTGAGAGTTGGACTATAAAGAAAGCTGAGCACCAAAGAATTGATGCTTTTGAACTATGGTGTTGGAGAAGACTCTTGAGAGTCCCAAGGAGATCCAACTAATCTATCCTAAAGGAAATCAGTCCTGAATATTCATTGGAAGGACTGATGTTGAAGCTGAAACTCCAATACTTTGGCCACCTGATGCGAAGAATTGACTCATTTCAAAATACCCTGATGCTGGGAAAGATTGAAGGTGGGAGGAGAAGGGGACAACAGAGGATGAGATGGCTGGAAGGCATCACCAACTCAATGGACATGAGTCTGAGTAAACTCCGGGAGTTGGTGATGGACAGGGAGGCCTGGCATGCTGCAGTCCATGGGGTCCCAAAGAGTCAGACACAACTGAGCGACTGAACTGAACTGAACATAAGGGAAGTATATCCAGTGAACATGATAAATGGAGCACACTGAAAGATATCGACAAAGTGTACAAGAGAGCATCTAAAATACACGTAGAATTCTTTTCAAAGAGTAAGAAAGAGGCAAAAATAAGTCAACAGTAAAATAAGCAAGGAAGCCTGGCACGGGGTACCAAAGAGATGGACACGACTTAGCAATTGAACAACAAAATAAGCATAGGATATGAATAGTTTAAGGAAAAGATACCTCAAAAGGTATCCTTTTAAAGGTGTACTTAAGCACCATTTAAAATTCCTAATTTTTAGGTGTTAAATTATTCTTCCTTTTTCAAAATGATGGTTCAGTCACTATTTTTTCTCAATGGCTTTATGTGCTAACATGAGAAATATTCAAATCTGTCAATGTCCAATTTGAGAGGGAAATTTTACTAGTATATGAAATTCAAGTCTGGGAACTACTCACATGTAGAATTAAAATAATTCATCAGAATGTCATTTCATTATCTAGCCCAATAGACCCATTGAAAACATTTTACCCTTCAAAAATTTTCTTCTCTAGTCAAGATAATGCTAAGTCTCCTGACCATTTTCAAACCATCATGATTTTAATCCCCCTGGATGCTTCCTCTGAACTGATTATCTCCTTCCTTCACCACTTCTTTAAATTCTTCCTATCCAAAGACTTCCCTCCTTTAAGTATATTATGTAAAGTCCAAGAAGACTTTCCTTAGGACTCCAGCCTACATTCATCCTTCTCTCATCTGAACAACTCTCAACCGTTAGGTAGAGCTTATTCTAAACACTCTTTTGGCCCAAGCCAACTGTGCAAAAACCACTTCAGATTAAAAATATTAAAAGGTTGCTTAAAAAAATAAGACAATTTCCAGGGTCTCAGTAAAGGTTCAGGAAAATCAGTGTCCAAGATTAGGGCACAGGAGCCAGTACTTTCTAAAAGCCCTCCCAAGTGATTCTGCTTCACAGCATGGCTTAGGAATAATTAATCTATACCACAGAGTCTGAAATGAGTCATGAAATACTTGGATTACATTTAAATAAACATTATTTATGTGTGCCTTCTAGAACATTTTGCAGAAGTCTTACTAAAATAATTTTTAACCATAATAATCATAATAGTTGTATGTTTACCTTAAAATTATAAATTAAACATCAAATGTGCATGTCACACATTAAATTATACATATAAGAGCTTCAATTTTGACAAATTAACAAATCATTTCAAATCCAATTGCAATATTTTGACATAGACATGCAGAGGCACTTGTGAATATAGTACAATGACATTATCATAGAAGGACACATATTGCCTAGAAATTAATGCAATTAAGCTTATTCAAATGGGCAGCAACCAAAATTCACTTTTTAAAAAAAGTTAACCTAAATACAGTCTACTAACCTGTTTGTTGTTCTCTGCCATGGAAAGCTGCAATGCCAAGAGCATGGAGTCTGCACCACACACAGTAGTTCTCTCAGAGTTACAAAGAGTGTGCCAGTTCATTCTGAACTCTTTAATCATATCCAAGATAGACTTCTGATTAAGCCCAGCCATCCTCTTAATGTAGGACAGAATGCTATGTTAAAAAGCCATATTTTAATTAGAAAATAATATTTAACATGTGTAAGGAAGGAGAGTAAGAGAAAAATAGTGAACAAGAGGTCACTTCATATTTACTACGACTGCTTTTAATTAAATTTAGAAAAACAGAGTAATACAACTTCTACCCAATCATATTTTTCTCTCCTTTAGTTTCCTTAAACCAAATCTTGTAAAATAATGAAATCCAACCATCGATCTGAAAATTAATACAAAACAGATAAAGGCAAATTCTGCAAACATGATTATAGACACAAACATAGTGAGCTGTATTTTTAAAAATATTTATTTTGGGAGGGGGGACCAGGATGGGGAATACATGTAAATCCATGGCTAATTCATTTCAATGTATGACAAAAACCACTGCAATGATGTAAAGTAATTAGCCTCCAACTAATAAAAATAAATGGAAAAAAAATATTTATTTTGAGATAGATGGTAATATCTATGGCAGAAGACTAAACAAAGAAAGTCAATTTCCTCTCATCCCTGTATTATCCCAAAAGGGGTGGTCTATTTTCAACCCCTTTGAATCTGGGTTAGCCTTGTAACTTGATTTGATCAATAGAATGTGGCAAGAATGACATCACAGGAGTTCCAAGCCTAGATCTAGTTCCCAAAGGCCGATGCAGAAAGAGTTAATGTGGCAGGCCAGACTACTATCTTTTAAAAAGCATGTTTACAGGGTTGGCCCTTGGTTGGCATCTGGGAACTTAAGATTTCAGGAAGATTTTCAGTAAGAACGGTTCATTGCACTTAAACTAATCGTACAAACAATATGGCTTATGCTGATAGGCTTTTCTTTTTAGTCTAGAATTTGGGAACATAGATATCTACATGTTCAAACCCCAGTAAAAAGCCTGGGCACTGAATCTCTAAAAAGCTACCCTGACAGACAACATTTCATGTGCTGGGAGAATTAACTATATCCTGTGTGACTCTCCTAAAAGAAGACTTTTGGAAGTTTGTGCTTTATTTCCCCTGGAGTTCACCCCCATGTACCTTCTCCCTTTGCTGATTTTGCCTGGCATCTTTTTGCTGTAATATATTATAGCATGAGTACAACTATATGCTGAGTTCTTTGAGTCCTCTTAGCAAATTATCCAACCTGGGGTAATCTTGGGGGCCTCCTGACACAAGCCTACAGTTTTAGCTCTTACTTTCTCACTACTCTCAGAATACCATATGAAGAACTGCAAATTAGCCAGCTGGAAAGGCTCTGTGGAGGAGAACCAGCTGATAGGCACTCCAGTTGATAACCAGCATCACGAACAGACATGTGAGTGACGCTATCACAGATTATCTAGACCCAATCAACCTGTCAGATGACATACAGCACCCGAAATGATCCTAGACAAGACCAGCAGAACCACATAGCTGAGTCCAGCCCTAATCGTTGATCCTCAGAATCATAAACATTTAAAATAGCTGTTGTTTAACGCCACTTCAACTTCAGAGTGGTTTGTTACACAGCAATAGACAACCAAAACAATAATAGCTAATATTTAGAAGGTTTCTTGGTGCCAGGTACTTTTCAAAAGCTTAATATTTACTACCTCATTCAGTCTTCACAAGAGTCCTGGGGAAGGTCTGTTATTATCTTCATTTTACATCTGAAGAAAGTGATACCCTATGCTGCTGAGTTAGCAAATGGCCAAACAAACCTAAATTCAAGATGCCTAACTCCAAAAGCAGTGTGCTTTTACATCACTACACCTTTTTTTTCCCTACTTTCTTTTAGGTACCCTAGTCTCCAACATAGTCACATGCCATTATCTTATTTTGGGTATTTTACTATTCACATTCAATCAATTTACTCCTCTGTTGTCTTTTTCTTTTTTTTTATATGACATAAACAGAATCCAGGATGTTTACTAGGTATCTCGGGTTTGTATGATTTAAAAAAAAAATGGGTATGTGCCATTTACGAAACAATAATTTGCAGACATAATCAGGGATGCAATTTAAAGATACAGGTAGAAGACTATAAAGTATCTACAAAAATACAAATCCAAGTAAACAGTAAAATTCTCTTCAAAATATCACCTTCATCTCTTAAAAGAAAAAAATATAAAGTGAAGAAATAAAGTTTCAGTAACATGATCAGTTTGCCTAGAATCAATCTTTAGTAGTAAATTATTTACTGGTATTATTTAAACATACTATGAGTTCGGATTGCTAAGAATGAAAACTAATCTGGAATTAGACTGTTCTGAATTCTGGCTCCACCACTTACAAGCTGTGAGAACTCTAAGTTATGTCACCTCTCTGCCTCAGCTTCCTCATACTGAAAACAAAAATAATAACAGTACTATCTGAGAGGGTTTTGTGAAAAGTAAATGACGCAAGTACAAGATAAGTTTTTAGAACAACGTCTGGCAGATATAAAAGTCCATCTCATTCAGGAGTCACAACACTTTTGGAAAGGTTCCAACAGTAAACATTTGAGGCATTCAGGACATAGAGTCTCTTACAACTATTCAAACTTCACCTTGCAGGATGAAACTAGCCACAGACAATACATAAACAAATGAGCACAGCTCGGCTTTAGCAAAACTTTACAGAAACTTAAAGATCACAAAATTTTCACATATCATAAAATATTACTCTGCTGGATTTTTTTTTTCAACCAACCAACCATGTAAAATCCATTCTTAGCTCATGAACTGGCTGCAGAAAAACAGGCAGTGCCACCAGTTCGCCAAGCCTCTAGCCTTGATTCTTTCAGTAGCTAGCTGGCTGCGTGAGCCCAACCAATAAGCCCTGACTGCCTAGGAAGAGGTAGAATACTTCCAGAAATCAAGGAGACAATGACTATGCAAGTATTCTGAATGTCAGGCTGCAACATACAAAGAGTAGTAGAAGATAGCAGCGATAATAAACACTTGTTTTTATCATTTGGATTCCAAGCTGCACTGCAGCAAATAAGGCAGGAAAATGTCACTGGGGAGCCAGTGTGAGATGGACAGAAGAGACATACCAGGGTCCCCATTTACTGGCTGTGTGTCCTTCAGTATTCAAAACCTCTGATGAGCATAAATTTCTTCATCTGTAAAATGGAAAATATTATTTCCTTGTTCATAAAATTAGGAGACGTTAGTGAGACAGTAAATAATCGACCTAGTGCTGGGCACTTAGGAGGTGCTCAATAAAAAAAGGGCATCGTTGCTGCTCATGGAATGCAGGTCCTAACAGTTACTTGGGCGGAAGTAAAAGGGAGAGGGCGAAAGCGGAATTTACCTAAGCCTGGTTTCCTGCCTAACTAACTAATCTAAGTAGGGCTCTGTAGACTTTATTCTTCCAGTCAGCAGATGATCTCTCAGCACCTTCCAGCTCCATTAATGGAATATAAGAACTCTATTCAACACCCCCAGACCAATATCGGGCCCCGGAGCAAAAACACTGCACAAATATTACTCTAGGCAACCACATGGCGCTGGGCTATTACCGAAAAACCCTCACAAGTCGCAGCTTAAAGCATGCAGACGGGCGAGAAAAGAGTGACACTCACCTGGCTCGGGGAGGTGCAAAATCCCCTGAAGAAAGCTCCCGCCGGCTGCACAAGGGCGACTGTTTGAAAGATAGCGGGTTTACATTTTAAATCTCGCGGGAGGGCCCGGGAGCCAATCGCAGCTCCCGCCCTCTGACCCGGAAGCAGAGCCGGCGCGCGCCGCAACAGCCCAAGGTGAGCACCAGTAAGGCTCTCGCCGCTTCCAGGCGTCCTCCGGTGCGTATCGCGCGTGAACCTAAGGGGCATTCCTGCTCGGCTGCCGGCCGCCACGCGCCTCCACTCTGTCCCTGGGAGTTCCTCCTCTCCTCGGGCCGTTCCCCACCCCTCTTCCTTTCGACCTCGGGCTCCGGGAGGTAGTGGCGGGGTCTCGCGGGATTTGCCTGGCTCTGGAAGAGGTGTCAGGGCTATGCGTGGACTTCCCTTGTTTCCTCCCTCCCCTGTTTTGGCAATTTTAGAGGGGCAAGTCCAGCCCGCTTTGCACAGTGAGACACTGAGACTGTAATTAGACTGGACACTGCTTTAATGAGCAGTTAGAAACCGAGTTTCCTGATCTGGATTCTTTTGCACTTCCGACACCGCTGCCTTACCTGTTGGTCACTTTTTACAACTGTTTAGTCCCAGATGCTGACTCTTAAGGTTACTTGGTTATAGACTTCCCGAGGTGGAACTCTTATGATTTCTTAGTAAATACTCATCAGATATTTGATGTGTTTGCAATCAAGCCCAGCTGTTTTCAGGACAACTCCTACCTTCCCATTAAAAACAAAAACAAAAAAAAGTGACCTCTTCAGAATCTATAAGTCTCATCTGGGCATGCTACTTTCAGAATGCACACCAGGCCATGAAACGTTAGCTGAAGTTTTGTGCCTGGTTTTATGAATACTATTTTGTATCCCATTTTGGCATTCCTTCCTCCAGATTGTATATTTTGTATCTGCTTATATTATAGTACTGTTCACACTGAATCATAAATAACCCTGGATTGTGAGCTCCGTTAAAACAGGCTTTTGTGTTTCTCTTTCTTATACTGGTGTCCAACACTTAGGAAAGTCTCACATTCTGGCTTCTCTTATGAGACTGGCAAGCTAGTTAACTATCTGAAGTATCGATTTCTTCATCTGTAAAAAGGGGACCATAGTTAGTAACTCCCTCTCAGGTTTGTGCAAGTATTAGGCATGGTAATATTAGTAAAATACTTAGTGGTGGCACTTGGAGGTAGAGCTCCATAATGTTAATGATCATTAATTTTTTGAGTATATTTCCTAGTAGTGAAATTCCATCTTTAAGTACTCCCTGTCCTTTAAATAAACTAAACAGAATTTTGTAGTGACTTACTCTGCAAGTATCACTCACAAAGTAGTTGAATAATTTTTTTTTGAGCTGCCTGTCATCACATCCTAACACTTAGATGGTTTCTATCTGTTTCTGTGCTATAATCCACAGTTCTGTGACCTTGTCCAGTAGAAGGCTGTTTTTGCAGCTGCACAAGTTTTGCCATACAAGATGAAGCAAGATGCCACAAGAAATGCTGCCTACACTGTGGATTGTGAAGATTATGTGCACGTGGTGGAATTCAATCCCTTTGAGAGTGGGGATTCGGGAAACCTAATTGCATATGGTGGCAATAACTTTGTGTTCGTCGGCACCTGCACATTTCAGGTTAGTGTACAGAACTGCCCTGAGTGACAGTGAAGATGTTTCATTGATGAGAAAATTTACACAACCTTGGGCAGTTTTCACTGAACTTTGAAAGCATATTGAGCTTAAATGTAAAAAAAAAAGTGAGATGAACTACTGAGAGAGACATTCTAGTAATATATGCCTAATATTTGTGCAAACATTGAATAAGTATTGAAAAAGAAGGATACAGTTGACCCTTGAACAACACAGATTTGAACTGCATAGTTCACTTATAGATGGAATTTTTTTTTTCAGTAGAAAATACTAGGATACTATAGAATCTGCAGTTAGTTGAATCTGCACATGCCGAGGAACTGCCCACAGGGAGAAAAGTGAAGGTATTAGTCTCTCAGTGGTGTCAGACTCTTTGTGACACCATGGACTGTATAGCCTGCCAAGCTCCTCTTCTGTCCATGGAATTCTCCAGCCTAGAATACTGGAGTAGGTTGCCATTCCCTTCTGCAGAGAATCTTCCTGATGCAGGGATCTAACTGGATCTCTCCCATTGTGGGCAGAGTCTTTACTATCTGAGCCACCAAGGAGGCTTACACCTGGATTACACCCGGATTTTCACCGGTGTGGAGAGTCATCGTCCCAACCTCTGTGATTCAGGGGCAAGGCTATATACATGTATAAGGCTCCCCTTATGCTTCATGATTAGAAATGGAATGTTCTAGTAATTGAAGGTTATGATTAACTATACATTGTTACGTACAGGGAAGATACCAATTAAATGAGATCTGATTAATTACTAAATCCAGCTTTTCTGTATTCCACTTTGACATAGAAAAAAAACAAACTAGTAGTATTGAGAGCTTAGAAATGATCTTCCAGGAGATTTTGTGGCTGTGATGATACCAGCTTTCCTAGTTGCTCTCATGCTTTTTATATATCTAGAGTATACAGAGTGTGAGATCTACTAATTGAACAGGCAGTTCAGCATAGTCTTTAAGACCATGAACTCTAGAGCCAAAATGCCTGGGTTTTTGTTCCTGCCTGACTTTACCTCTTAATAGCTAGGTGACCTTGAGCAGGTACTTAACCTCTCTTTTATAAAAATGAGAACAATTATATACTTGACTCTTAAATATTGTGGAGGTAAGGGCTGCTGGTGGATACAGTCAACATCCAGGTGTAACTGTAGTTCCCTCATTCCTCAATGGATTCCATCCATAGCAAATCATATAGTCCTCTAGTACGTATGTTTTAAAAAAAAAATCTGCATATAAGTGGACACAGTTCAAAATCATGGTTTTTAAGCGTCAACTGTACTTCACAGGGTTTTGTATGAATGTCATAAGTTAGCGTGTACAGTTCCTACATAGTATCTGACACATTCAATACATATGACTGTCATCGATTCGGTCAGGCACACTCAGGCACAGCCCCATATTTAATGGTGTGGCACACACCACGTTTTCTCACAGGAAAGCTAGTTCTGTGTGTCAGAGAGAATTTGAACAATGGGAGGTCAGCCCTCCGGAATCTCCGGTTAATCCTTTGTTTATCAGAGTGTTATTTATGGAACACTATTTCCCAGATTAAGTTTAATCAGTGAGGTAATTTGAGAAGGCAATGGCAGCCCACTCCAGTATTCTTGCCTGGAGAATCCCAGGGCTGGAGGAGCCTGGTGGGCTACTGTCTGTGGGGTCACACAGAGTCAGACATGACTGAAGCAACGTAGCAGCAGCAGTGAGGGAATTTGGCAGTGACCAATTTTCAAAGATTTTAAATAACTTTATCACCAAAGTGATATAATAAATATTGTAAATATTATTTCCTCTTTTACTGAGGAGGCAGTTCAGTATCTTACAGTATTTTAACATCATAAATGCAATTTGGCATTTTACAGTGGCATAAATTTATTAGGTTATACACAGCTAGACTGCATGTATATTTATCCTAAAGAGAAAGTATGAATTAAAAGCTTCTGTTGGTTGGTTCTTACAGAAAGTTCTTACATTATCCCACATTGCCTCTTAGGGTTGGGATAGGAATTTCTAGCTTTTAGGCTGAATATGACCCTCAGCCTGATCTCAGCTGGACCAGGTTAGGATCTCATCAGATTAGGATCATAAAAAGTCACATAGTTAGGAGAAATAATACAACACACTCTTGAAAAAAACTGAAGGGAAACCATTTTTCTAATGCACACTATTAACCTACAAAAGAATAAAGCACCCCCCTACAGATGAAATTGAATTTTGCTTCAGTGCTTTTGAAATTAATAACTAATAGTATTCAAAAGTACTGAAAAAATATGCTTTGCTTTATGTTCAGCTAAGAAATTCTGAGGGAGAAAGTCAAGAAGAGAGGAAAAAGAAGGCAAAGAAGTGATGGGTAGCAGAGAGAAAAAGGAAGCAAAAGATGGAAAGTGACAAAATGAGAAAAAAAAAAGAGCAAAAGCATTTGTATTGCTCTGTTACTGTTTGTGGTCATAGGCATTATCCCTGTGGACCCTTAGACTGTGAGGCTGGCAATGTGGGTCTTAAACCCAAATAATCTAAGGAAAGAATTGGACTTTTATTAATCTATCAAGCAGTGAACACAAATTATCTCTGTACCAGGTATTGGGAATACAGTTAAACAACTGTGTCTGTCCTCATGGAGTTTCCATTCTACTTTAAAGAAATGCAAGGAATTATCTGACTGATAACTGAAAAAACAAACTCTATACCACATTTTTAAACCCCTGTTCTTTTCCTTCTGTGCTGCTGTTCAGAGAGGTTGAAGCCATAGTTCACACAGTTCTAGAGAAATGAGTTCCAATAATTTGCCAGTGGAGATTCAGATTGCTTCTTCTGAAATTATTTTTTTTATCCAATTAAGCACCATTGAACATTTTTCCTAGTCTCTCATGTTAGAACTTTCAGGTTCCGTCACACTCAGTTTCTTATCTTGAGGGAAAAAACTAGGAAAAACTGAATTGAAAGATTTCACGTTTCTGTCAGAAAGGCAATCCTCACTCTAAGACTATTAGGAAAACTACTGATATAGTAAATTTGAATTTCAGCAAAGCATTTTTTCAGTATTTTATGATATTCTTTTGAATATGTTGGAAATTTGAACCAAGTGATAGTACTATTGGTTGGTGTCATATATTTGTCAAATACTCATTAATTGCAGATCAGGTGCTGGGAACTAACGATACATATTTTAAAAAAGCAAGGACCCTGCTCTCAAGGAGATATTTAAATGTAATGCAATGCAATAAGATAACGCTGTAAAAGGAGAGAGCAGAGGGAGCATGAAGGTTTCTAATTCTGTTTAAAGGGTCATCAATAATGAATTGCATACACCTGAAACTAATACAACATTGTAAATCTGTGTTAAATTAACTATACTCTAATAATTTTTCTTTTTTAAATAATGAATTGCAACCTCTAC